ATGGACATATGATAATCACATTGCACGTGAACTATACAAACCTGCAGCAGTCTTCAAAAAGTTCGAATAAATAAGATGGGTTGAAGAACAAAAAGACCAATGTTACTGCCAACAACCCCGCTTTGAACACTTCACCAAGAACCTGGCCGACGAACTCATGCCAGACCACATGTCCCCACACGTTGTCACCATGAACATGACAATTTTCACTAACCCTGATCTCAAATCAATGATCGAAGCAGGAATGAACCACATTCCACCTAAACAAAACAACCCGCAACAGATTCACCATGAATGCCACCTGGCCTGGAACAAGGTAGTCAACATACTCAAATCACAACATTTGATCCTACAAAATCAAATAGACGCAGCCACATGCGAGCTCAACAAAATCCTTACTAACAATCTAAAAAGATATCCGAAGAATAACGCTATCAGCACCCACAACCACGCCATACACAAACGAATAGAATACACGACCAGTCACTTCTACATAGCCGGAGTGCATAAGGCACCCAACACACCAGTTATCTGCTGCATAAACCTACTCAAATATCTAGCATTGCAACACCTCTCACTATCGGACTTCACCCCATCCCAACAAGTGAAAAGCGAACTTATTCACCACCTCACCCAAGAACTCACCACCCGTTTCCCAACAATCCCTTTAGGAAAACCAGATATACCCTTTCTCTTTGCCACATACAAGAACCACAAGAACAACTTCCGCTGGCTCACTAATGCCGCCGATGTACTCATATCTCCTCTTGCGGACTACTGCTCTATAATCCAAAAAAAAATCCAAGAACCTATCCAAGAACACTGTGGACAACTCACGGAACTCACACTCCAAAAAACAGGACACAAGGTCCCGTTTTGGTGAATCATAGACTCTACAACTGACTATATCTACAACATCCCTGAACGAGTCCACAATCTCTTTGCTGCAGACATAACCCGCTGCTATGAAACCATTCCCATAGACCAATCATAGGACGGCCTACCAACTGCCATCAGATTCTTTGTAAATCTGGCATTTACTATGGCCAAAAAAACATATGGCAACCAGGCAACACTGCACTACATACAAAAAACAAACCAAAAGCCACCCACAATGGAATGCTTCTGGACTGCACACCCCGACCCAACGAGACCGGCCCTGGCACCCCAAGACATAATACAAATGAATATATGGTTGGTCAATAACGCACAGACATCACTAGGGGACCACACATGGAGACAAATCCTCGGCATTCCCATGGGTGTCAGCTGCTCCCCTATCTGGTGCAATCGCTATTTTTTTATGTTTGAATATAAATTTATAAGGAAACTCACCAGAAACCAGCACCTCCTACCACTCTTCACCCACACTTTTAGATACTTCGATGACCTACACACAATTAACAACAATCAGATCAAAAAATTTCTTAACCCGAACATTACGAGCTCCAGAAGTATATACTACATATACCCCCTCAAATACGTGACGATCAACGACCAAACAACGTACACCCCCACCACGAACCTGGAACCACTTGGCACGGAATGCAATTTTCTTAATGTCACCATCAAGATAACCAACGCCCAAGAAGGAGAATACACCACCTGCAAATTTGACAAGAAAAACCTTCTGGACTTCGACATCATCAGACTGCTTAAGTACAACTCCAACCGACCGATAAATCAATCCCTAAAAACATTGATCCCTCAAATTGTCACTATAATGACCATCGAAAATAACAGCCAAAATGCAGCCACCCAAATCTTCAAGCTATTAAGCATAATGACCCAAAACGGTTTCCCACAGAATAGATGCCTCCGCCTAATATACGATACCCTAAAACACCATGAGAAATACCAACCATTTAGATGTTCAGCTATACAAACAAGTCACCTCCTAAATGAACAAATGCAGCAACAAAGTGTGTATGGCCAGTCTAACTGACTGACTGGTACGGATGGAGGACCTTAACCCATGAGGGGGACAGGTTCGCCATCCGCACTGATCCCCGTCATAATCCCCATCACGAGGGAACGAGGGAGGGACACACACACACACACACACACACACACACACACACATACACTTACATGCACCCTCTTATCAGCTAATCATTCTTTCTGCCTACCGCATATATAACATCGCATGGTTAAACCTTCACCCAACCCAAGTATATACATACAATTACTAATTCCCCAGGATAAAAGCGCGTGACCCCCCCTTTTTCGACACCCATGCACACCCCATAAAAAAACGCGTTTTTTTTGAAAAAATAAAACAAAAATAATAATAATAAAAAAAACAAAATATTTTTTACAGAAACCAAAACCGAAACGACACAACCCCGAAACAAAACGGCTGAACTAAAAACAAAACGTAACCCGCACGGACAAAAACAAAGGACGCATGTGACGCTTACACATAAAAGCCCAGTTGAATTGACCGCTGACGACCCACATACGACACAGGCGAGCCACACACAAACAGACAGAACGAAACGCAACGCAGCGCATAGCACAGGCCTGCGTCACGGGCTCGCAATGCCGCCATATCTGCACTTGAAGACAAAACCCATCGCCTCCAAAAACATACCACCCCACCACGATGCAATACGAGGCATGCAACAGATCTGAATAATGGGCAATGGACACTGCACATGCACCGCGGGGCTCTACCAAACAGACGCCTCAGCTTTGCACCAGGGTGCTACCACGCACTGCGGCATAATGACACTCTCACAAACGCTATCACTCCTACTCCTTGCTAAAGCGGCCTAACCTACCCCCCTAAAAAAAATCCCTCTGAACAACCATCCCATGGCCAGAGATAACTATCGCCATCCCCTCTATACCCCCACTCTTAACCACATACCCCCCGCAGACTCATGGGGATCCGTAGAGCCGGTGACTTCCCAGCTTGATCCCACGCATAAGTACATGCAGCCATCACGACCCCCACCTCACCATACATATCCACACATCATACTTCCGCAAATCCTCTCCCCAACACTCTGCAATCTCTCTTCTCGTATGTCTCTGAAGCATTGCATTCGTGTGGCCTTTTATCCACCCTAGCCTGCTGAATGGTGATTGGCAGTTGAGCTCTCGCACACATTGACGCCATAGCTGGTGCTCCGTGCACCATCTTCGTCATACAGTGTGTTCTGTAATCGGCAACAAGGTATATACCTTGTCGAGATCCGGTAGCCTTCGGTCTCACTCCTGCGATTACGAGCGGCAACCTCGAGGCCTGGTATGATAGCACAGATCAGGGACGACCTCCCCGATGCAGGCATCATGGAACACATGGTAAGAGTTGCTTTTACTCGATCCTATCTTGTTCCCCCATGGCCCTTCCCCTCACCCTCTCCTTAGGAGCCAGAGGACGTTCACCCTCTGATGAGCCGTGATTGGCGCTAGCGGCGAAAAGCGCTTTAGGGGATGCGCCTCCCTCCTCCACTAGTTTTTATGCAGGTGTTTATGGCATTGACCATCTTGCTCCCTTCCTCCTTTTTTCCTATCCCCTCTTCTTCTACACCATTGCGCAATAAGGTGCTTGTTGTTGCCACAGGCTATGTGTCCGAAATTTGATTTCACGAGGGGTCCACGTTAAAAAATTGAACGCTCGTTCAATTCGCGTTCAATCCGCGTTCAAACGCGCGTTGGACGCGAATGAACGGGGTCCGCGAACCGTTCTTTCGCGCTCTTTAGGGGGGGGAGGGGTTTTTGTGAAGGTGCACGGTGGTAGTACTCGTTGTCGGGTACCACCCCGTGCATTCATATTTTATGCGGCTGATTTGCCGCGCGAACAGGTACTTAACGCGCAAGCGCGTTCTGCCGCAGCTCATTTGCCGCGCGAGCACTAACGCTCCAACGCGACGAACGGGTTGCCCGTCAGGTTGGAACGCGCGCGCGCGCGCGCGCGAGAGAGAGAGAGAGAGAGAGAGAGAGAGAGAGAGAGAGAGAGAGAGAGAGAGAGAGAGAGAGAG